CATCCCCACACCTGCAGTGACGGAGGCGATGGTCAGTGGCAGCCCGGGGCAGATCTCGAAGCCGTAATGCTGCAGCACCAGGTCCTTGTACACGGTCACCGTCACCTTGGCCCGGCTTGGGGGCTGCCCTGCACTGTCCCCAGCGCTGTCCATCGCTGCCACGCTGCCCCTGGGCCACCAGAACACACAGTTAGACAGGACACAACCACAGACAGCTTGTCCAAGGATGCACGCTGTGCCTCCTGCCCAGGGGCTGCCCCAGGGCTCTGCAGGAGGCTGTGAGCATAGCTCAGCCCAGCCCAGCGGTCACACAGAAGGAGAGAAGGTCACACAGGTGTGCCCCAGCACAAGGCATCGCCTCCACCCACAGGGAGCAGCAGCACCTTCACCCAGCGAGGCAGCACGGGAGCTCTGGGCCATCCACTCAGCCCACGGGTGTCCACTCTGTGCCCACTCTGTGTCCACTCCACCCTAATGTCACTCCCAGGCCCCAGGGAAGGAGAGCAGCCGTGGGCCAGGGTCCCTGGCAATGCAGCCCAGGCCAAAACGCGGGCCCACAGAGAGAAGCATGAGCCCACCTTCAGGAAGAGCCAGTTCCAGTGGAGCAATGCTGCATTTCCTCCTCACAAAACCCCAGCAGAGCACGGCAGGAACGGCAGCCCCTGGCAGCCAGGGGGGTTGCTCACAAACTGCTGCTGCTGTTGTGTTTCTGTGAGCGCATTTCCCAAGGACAGACACAGCGAGCAGGCCGCGCAGGCCGCGCAGGCCGCGCCAGCCCCAGGGGCGGCCTCTGCCCCAAGGTGCTCCCTCCACAGACCCCACTCACCTGGGCAGGCTGTCCCGAGAGCGATGAAGCCATTTTGCTACCATTTGCTCTATTCTACATGCTTTTCGTGTATGGATTAAGCTAGTCTCCAAATCTCCCATTTACCTGGAACTGACAGAAATCACAGGGAAACGGTGACTGGGGAATTCTTCTGGGCAGCTTTCAGCACTACCAACACTAACCCACAACCCATTACAAGATATTACAAGATATTACATGATATTACAAGATATTACATGATATTACATGACTTTACATGATATTACATCATATTAAATTATATTAAATGATATTAAATTATATTAAACTATATTAAACAATATTAAATTGTTAAATTGTATAAAAACAATATTAAATTATATTAAACTCAAAAAGATCAGCCGGCACGCTGTGGAGAGCAGGGCTCTGGCAGAGGGTGACACCTGTTGTGACACTCAGGGCACCCCCTGCTCACCCAGCCTCCTCTGCCCGGTGCTTTTGGTCACTTGTGTCGTGGTCACACTGCGTTACCCTTCCATGGCACACAGTGATGCCACCATCCCTTTCCCAAGGATTTCATAGCTCCAGGGGCTTCTTTTGGAGGGGCACGGGCTGGGTGAGCTTCCCACCCACAAAGTGAGCCTGGCAGACCACGAGTCCTCAGTGAAAGCAGGAATTGGTTTGATACTAACTGCAGAGCTCAGTGGTACCTGCACACCCCAGCAACGTGCCCTGCAGGGCAATGCACTACCCTGCAGCCATGCACCACTGCCATGCACCACTGCCATGCACCACTGCCAGCCCTCCGAGCTCCAGCCCTGGGAACAACAGTGGGCTGGGGCACAGCCCGACACAAAATGAAACAAATTGTGCCTCTATCTGCCAGAATCCATGAGGAGAATCAGCTCCCTGTGTTTCACTCCCGCAACTGCTGTATCCACCTTTCACAGGGTGCCTCTGGCCAGCCCGGGAGCTCCGCACGTCCTGGCCTCCTCCCCGGTGTCCTCTGCTGGGGCTGGACGCTCTGTGCCTCAGGGACATGCTGGGACAGCAGGCTGCTGCTCCATGCTGCAACACAAACAGCAGAGACTGAACCTACGCACAGCAGAGACGGCTGGAAGCGCAGAAATGAGGAGCAAAAAAAATGTGTCGCAACAAAAAATGGGTCCTGTTCCACTCAGCACCTTCCCAGGCCTTAGAACCTCCCCAGCTCACACTTTCCAACCAGGAAGGGAGGGCAGGACTCACATTTGATGGTGAGCTCCTCACAGGGAGCCACTCCAGCCTGCTCAGAACATGGGGGGAATTCAGCCCTTCAGCAGTTCTGGCACTGGGCACTTTCCTCCTCATACAGTGCAATTCACCCTGTCCCTCCAGCCACACAGCTCTTGAGAGGCACCTCTGGCCACAAATGGGGACCCTGTGATCCACTGTGCCCCCAGAAATCAGAGCTGAGGGATGGCACTGTGACCCCTCCTCAGGGAAATGGGGACCCTGTGATCCAGCTGTGACTCCAGAAATCAGGTGCCTCCTCAGCACCTCCAGCTGCAGCTCCAGCCTTCACCTCTTCCCCTTCTCTCTGCAGAAAAGACAGATTTTCTATCTGGCCTTTACAAGAGGGAATTCCCAGGCAAAATCTCTTAACCCTTAGGACAAGGAGGAAAGCCTGCAGAACAAGCACAAACATTTAAAACCCCCAGATGGAGCACTGAGGAAAGAAAACCTGCTCTCCTTTCAGGACACTGCAGTGTTTGGGCCAAACAACAGGTGTGCTAGAGGAGGCAGCCTGGCAGGTGTTTCCCTAAAACAATGCACAGCTCCAGGAGCAGCCCCAGTCCCCTCAGCATCCTCGGGGCACAGGGAGCTGAGCGGGACAGGTCTCGGGATCTTCTGCTGCTCACAGTGACCCCGAGATGTGTCACAAAGTCTCTGTTCCCAGCCCACTGCTCAAAGAAGCAGTCAGAGCTCTTCATTTCTCGGTCTCAAGGTTGTTTATTGTTCCTTGTCTATAAAATTCTTTCTCCTGCCCTGCCCAGGTCCCTCCAGCAGGACAGTCAGTGGCACTCTGCCTGCCCCAGGGCAGTGTTATCTTTTTATACTAAAAACTACATGTACNCCTGATGAGGCTGGCAGCCCGCTCCACCGACAGGCCCTCCACCGTGCTGGAGTTGATCATGATGAGCTGGTCCCCGGGCTGCAGCTTGCCGTCAGCTGTGCTCCCTGCAGAACGGAGCGGAGCGGGGTGAGGCACGGGGAGCCCGACCGCCTGCCAGGGCAAAGAGCTGCTCACCCCGCGGAAACAGCCCTCTGAGATCAACAGCACTGCCAGAAATCACCCCAATCACCCTCCAAGATCAGCACCACCCCGCAGAAAACCTTTGAGATCACCCCCACACTGTAGAAACCCTTTGAGATCACCACCACAGCACAGAAACCTTCTGAGATCACCACCACACTGCAGGAACCCTCCAAGGTCACCTCCCAGCACCTGCTGCCCTCAAGAACCAGCTGGCTGGCAAAATAAAAGGGGCTGAAGGGCACTGGGGGCTGACGCCACCTGGTGTGTCCCTGCCTGTGTCCTTGTCCCCCTACCTGAGCCTCCCTGTGCCCGTGGAGAACCCCCCAGGATCTGTCCCCTTGTCACAGCCCACCACACTGGGAACCAAGCAGCCATGGGATCCCACCAGCAAAGGGCTGGCTCAGAAGGACAGGTTTTCTGTGTTTCAGGTTTAGTAAACTGAAGGGCAGGTTTCTTTGTGCCTCATCTTTAGTAAAATATTGGCTCTTTCTGATTAGGAGAAGAGAGAAGCACAGCAGAAAAAACCCTCTTCGTACTCCCCACAGCTCTCAGGTAATTCCACATGGGAAGGGGCACAAAGAGAAGTGGGAGTGACAGAGGGTCCCTGACCTGGTCCAGAGCCCAGTCAGCCCCCAAACAGAGGGCTGACACCCACACCAACAGGTGAAAACTGCGTGGTTTTGTGCACACTTTAAAAAAAGAAAAAAATAAACCACCAAACAAAAACCAACCCAGAATGACAGGTTTTGAGTTACACCCATCCCTTCTATAGCTAAATATCAATCTGGTTGATTTCAGGACTGCCTGCATCCAGCAGCAAAGCCCTGTGTCACAGGGCTGAAACCCCAGGGTCTGTTCAGATCACCATGGCCACAGTGGAGTAAGATGAAATTCTCTGAGATAAGATTAAATTCTTCCTCTGAATCTCAGATAAAACACTAGGAAGGACTTCGAGCATCTCTCTGCATCAGGAAGGCCAGCAGTGAGGAGCACAGGTGAGGGACACGTGGGGACACTGACACTGGCCCCAGACTGGGAGATGGGACAAGTCCTGGTGCCCCTGGGGGTGAGCTCAGGGCTCTCACACCAACAGAA